TGTACTTTCCTCTTGTCCCACTATCATGTTCAGCCTTCATTTGGGTTTCAGTAATTCCTCTCGGTTACATTACCCTTGATCAATCCCCCTCATCTTTTCTTATGTCTCTGTCTAATCTGTTCTTTTCATATCTCTAAGGTGACTGGCTTAAAGCATTATATCCCAATATGACCTCTTAAAGAAAACTCATTCCCAAATAGGATTTAAAGCAAATGCATGCACACCCACCATATATACTTATATACATATATCTGCAAACTCACTGCTGTCAAGTCAACCCCAACTCATAGTACCCTAGTAACTGTATAGGACAGAGTAGAATTGCCTGTTTCGGTTTCTGTGACTTTAAATCTTAACAGGAGTAGATAGCCTCATCTTTCTCCAGAGGAGCTGCTAGGAGGTTCAAAACAGGGTCCTTGCAATTTTCAGTTCAGTGCCTCACCCATACACCACAGGGCTCCTAACCACAGGTATGGGCTTAAGATTTACAGTACACACTTTTGGGGGATCCAGTTTAAGCCATGACTGTGACTAAATGCATAGGTACTCAGCCTTCTGCAGGTTCTGTGCTGTCTTTTTTTCTTTTGTAGTCTCATGAATTTAAATAGTATTTAAGTTATAGAAGTATGAATCCACAGACAATTAATAGCTATTGATTCATGTTTTGCTGGATAAGTAGATCGGCTCTGGTCATTTTAATCTTAGAAGATAAGAATTCTGATGACGGGTTGGAGGATCAATGCATGCAAAGTAGCAAATAGATTAAAAGAGTAATAAGCTTATTGATTGTAATTTAGCACTCGATAGCAAGCACCTCTCCGAACCCTCTTCTAAGATTAAAGAGAAAATTAGAATGAAGTGCAGTATGCTCTTTAAGCACCCACTTCTTATCGCATATTCTCACCAGGATTTTATTCTTTCTGTTTTCTGAGAGAAAATGAGACAAACGAGACAGTCTAAACATTTTTCCACATACTGAATTTTGTAAAATCTTTTAAAAGGTATGTGTGTCTTTTTCCACGACATAGACCACCTTTTCCTACAGAAAGAAGTCCCATATATTTTCATTAAATCATTGGGTTCTCCCTGGCCGTCTTCCTGAGCATCTGGTGACATCTTCTCAGTTCATGGGCTTTGAGGTTCTTTTGTCTTTTTGGCTGATCAGATTCAGAGAACATTAATGAGCAAGGTAATGAAAACTAATTTTTAATAATGTACGTGAATGAATTTCAAAATGAATTTCTCATTAGAGGAGTTTCATTTTCCCATTTCACTCTTGCAGTGGTTTTCCTGTGAGGGACAAGCAGAGCAGAGAGTGGTTGCTAGGTTCTTTGTATGCCGTGTGAGTGTTTTATAAACTCAAATGATGGCAACAATTGATCAGTTTAAATGTGGCCTGTGGTTTGAGTAGTAGTAAACTCATATGATTCAAAACTCAAAAGATGGAACAAGTTAGCCATTTAGTTTAAAATGTATGTGGTAACTATAGGTAGTTCCCAATTTAACACACATTATGACGAGTTAGGACAAACTGCACTTAACACTCTCATTTGTTTTTGGTACATCTTTATGCTTAGTAGTTGGTACTATAAATAATGTTACAGAGAATGTAATTTGCTGGTATGTTATTCTCATGCCAATCCCAGAAGACAAAGATTGGATTTATAAAGATCTGGTAATAAAATGCAGCCATAGTGAAAATTTAGATAAAAATAAATCAGAACAAAATACCATCATAAGTTGAGTGCCTGTGCACCTCTCAAAGAGAATTTCCTTTGTCCCCATCTTTGCTTACTAGACATTGACTTTGCACAACTTTAAATGGTGCCTTTTTATTTCATGTATTGACTTTTCTTCGACACTGTCTGTATGTTTATATAAGGAGTCTAAGTGGCAAGTGGTTAGGCGTTGGGCCACTAACTACAAGGTGTACAGTTTGAAACCATCTGCCACCTCGAGGGAGAATGTTTATATTTTTTTGTGTTTCTTCCTGGTTTGTTTACAATGTGAATTGTTTTAAAATAATTTATATCAGTCTCAGTATAATCATGATATGCCAACTTTAAAAACATTTTTAAAAAGTGCCACTTTCCCAAAGCAACATTGTATTCTTCGGGCGATGACTAGTTTGGGGCACGTTTTAATGCTCTTAACATTTTCTTTTCTATACTCAGGTTAAAAATCTACAAAAATTCAGATATACACAAATAGAGAGGCTGTTATATGAACCCTTAGATGTGCTATTTTAAAACTACACGTATAGACTTACAAGAATCATTGGCTTTTTCAAAATGCAAGTCTCATAAATTAAAAAGACAGAACTATAGCACTTAGGTTGTTATAGAAAGACTTCAGATGAATTATTGTTCTATGGGAACTTATGATAGAAGCCTATATTTGCTGAAACACTGTGGGAAGACCAGAAGCCAGTGAATGTGGGGTTCCCTGAATTCTTGGGGATTAGGCAAATGGATACTAAGAGTGGTAAGGAGACTGTGAGCTCTTTGCCTTTTTGGAATTATTTCCCCTTTTAGCTTTTATGAATGTGTGACTATTATTTATAAAATTTTTTCCCTCAAGACAGTCTCCAGATTTTGATGGAAGGACCTTTGACTATATACCAAAGTGGTCTGAAAAGTATGAGTAATAACCTGTAAGGGTTGCCTTATTCCTATCCCTGCCCCCAAACTGCAGAGATGATCTTGTGGTAACCTTTTTCTCCCTCTCTTGTGTGTGCTCTTTCTTTTCAGGCTGGTGGGGTAGCAGGTGCCTCTGTTGACTTGATACTGTTTCCTCTGGATACCATTAAAACGAGACTACAGAGCCCTCAGGGCTTTAAGAAGGCTGGTGGGTTTCGTGGGATATATGCTGGTGTTCTGTCTGCTGCGATTGGATCCTTCCCTAATGGTAAAAGAAAAGAAAAAGTGATATGCTCACTGCTATAAACCAAAGATAATGCAGCTTATTTTCAGAATGGTGTGCTGTTTCTCCATGTAGAAATCTTGGCTTGTCTTCTAAATTCTAAGTTTGTTTTCTATCCATTTCCCCATTAATTTTGAATCAGCCGGCGCTGTAGACACTGTTCCAGTGTATTTGTAACGGTAAAAAGATGAGCAATCTTTTAAAAATGGTTTGTGTTAAAATTCCTAGTTAGAACCCTGAAGGTGATAAATTGTATTATCAGGAGTCCTCAAAAAATTTGTAGACCGATCCTATTATCTTTTCATCCCATTTTCTATGACCTTTTTGAAGCCTCCTCTGGTTCCATGGATTATGATTCCTTTGAGCAGTGATAGTCAACCGTGCTCATCATTGCTCACACACTGGAGTCTCCTGGGGAGTTGTGAAGAATACTGATGCCTGGGACTCGCCCCAGAAGTTTAATTGGTCTGGGCTTTGCCTGTGTGTTTGGGCTTTTTATTACTCCCAAGTGATGCCACTGTGAAGTGGAATTTGATCACTGCTGGTTTGGAGATGATTGTGCAGCAGGTGAACCTGCACCATTAAATCTCTCCAGTCAGTTGCTTTGAGATGAGGTGACCACCGTCCATCCACACCCCTCCTGGACACGCCTGGGCCACTGTCTTGCTTTGGTTTTGTGTTCATTCTGAAGTCTCATTACTTGACTGGTCTTCTTACTCTATAGCCAGTATCATCCATTTCATTTAATCCACTTGCTGGCACACTTTTTTTCTGACACAAAATTTAATTGCTTGCTGATATTTTTGGGTGCACTCGGGATTATATTAAGGAAACAGGAAAGAACCCTTCCCCATATTAGACCACTGCTCCAGAACATTCTCAATTTCTAAGGTGTGCTGTTTTTTCCTCTCATAATAATTCATTACAAATTCTTTAATTTTATATTTAAAGGCCCATCTGTAAGCACAGCATTCACATACATATTTGTAGGGCAAAGGGACAAAAAGTGCGATCCTTTTCTTGTGTTTCTCCCCTCCCCTAGATCTCCAAGGGTTTGTAAGTACTTTTAGTCATCTGTAACAGTTATAACAAGTTTCTGTTGAACACTCACTCAATGCCAAGTGTAGCTTTAAATGTGGGACAGGGGACGTGGTCCCCACATTTCTCCACATTCGTCTCATCTGACCACCTGAGGAACTTAAGAAAAACAAAAACCAGGAAGCCAAAGCTGATGCCTGTGTCTCAACTCTAGGGTTTTCAATTTAATGGTCTGAGGGGTGGCTTGGGCTTAGGAGTTAAAAACTAACAATAACTTAGCTGTTTCTAAAATGCAGGCAGACTTGAGACCCTTTGAACTAGGGCATGGGAACGATTATGTCACGGAGTCTCGTAAGTTGAGGTCACCAGATTTTGTGGGGTCTTCCTCATTTGAACTCATCATTCTGAGATCTTTTTGATATATTAGATATAAGAATGATTGTGTGTATGTGCAATATTTGTGTATAATTTTGCCTGTAGCTCCCTGGTCAATTCCAACTCATAACTGCCCCATAGAGCAGAGTAGAACTACCTCATAATGGTTAGGTCTTTTTTTCCCCTTCTATGAAGCCCTTCAGTGGGTTTGAATGTTTGTTTGGTTAGCAGCTTAATGCTTAACCACTGTGCTTTGTATATATGAGAAGGGTTAAAAAAGTTCATGGAAAAATGGATTAAAAAATAATGGGATTTTTCCATGAACTTTTTGCAATTTCCTTGATGTTGTCCAGGGACAAGGGGTTGGGATGGAGGGGCTTGAGGGTTGAACAAGAAGAAAAGGCCCTCATGTAGAAGCCTTATTCCCAACTTAGAGGAGCATGTAATAGACTATAGTTTTTTGTTGTTAGAAGAGTTAGGAGTCTGTAGGTGTCAGCACTGGTGGCACAGTGGGTTAAGCATTTGGATAATCACCAAAAGATTGGCTGTTCAAATCCACCAGCTGCTTTGCAGGTAGAAAATGAGGCAGTCCACTTCTGTAAAGATTACAGCCTTGGAAGTCCCTTGGAGCAGTTCCACTCTGCCCTATTGGTCTTTATGAGTCGGACTTGACCATGGCAGTGATTTTGTTTTGTGCATTTTGGGGTAGGTGTCAAACAATCCAAGTGCCCCCCTCTTCCCAACACACACCTTCATTGTCGTATCTTGCTCAGAACATTATTGTACCATAATTTCCAATTAGTTTCTGCAGTGATTTTGTTTTGTGCATTTTGGGGTAGGTGTCAAACAATCCAAGTGCCCCCCTCTTCCCAACACACACCTTCATTGTCGTATCTTGCTCAGAACATTATTGTACCATAATTTCCAATTAATTTCTGCTTAGATGTAACCCAGCAGTGGTTGGAGACTTACATTTCTTTCTTTTTTAAAAAAATTAAAAAAAAATTTAATTATTTTATTGGGGGCTCATACAACTCTTCCCCCCCCCCTTTTAAAAATAGTTTTATTAGGGGCTCATACAACTTTTATCACAATCCATACATACATCAATTGTGTAAAGCACATTTGTACATTCATTGCCCTCATCATTCTCAAAACATTTGCTCTCCACTTAAGTCCCCAGTATCTATCTGCTCCTCATTTTCCCCCCTTCCTCATGAACCCATGATAATTTATAAATTATTTTGTCATATCTTACACTGTCTGACGTCTCCCTTCACCCGCTTTTCTCTTGTCCGTACCACAGGGAGATTATATGTAGATCTTTGTAATCGGTTCCCTCTTTCCATTCTACCCACCCTCCACCCTCCCAGTATCACCACTCTCAGCACTGGTCCTGAAGGGATCATCTGTCCTGGATTCCCTGTGTTTCCAGTTCCTATCTGTACTAGTGTACATCCTCTGATCTAGCCAGATTTGTAAGGTAGAATTGGGATCATGATAGTGCGTAGGGTGGAACCATTTAGGAACTAGAGGAAAATTGTATGTTTCATCGCTGCTACACTGCACCCTGACTGGTTCGTCTCCTCTCCACAACCCTTCCATAAGGATGTCCAATTGCCTATCGATGGGCTTTGGGTCCCCAATCTGCACGCCCCTTCTTTCACAATGATAATGATTTTTTGTTCTGATGATGCCTGATACCTCATCCCTTCGACACCTCATGATCACACAGGCTGGTGTGCTTCTTCTATGTGGGCTTTGTTGCCTCTGAGCTAGATGGCAGCTTGTTTACCTTCAAGCCTTTAAACCCCAGACCTTATATCTTTTGATAGTCAGCTTTCTTCACCACTTTTGCTTATGCACCTATTTGTCTTCAGCGATCATATCAGGAAGGCACCACTTGAGATTTTGTGTGCCAAATTCTATGGTTTTCCATGGCACCACACTGTGGGAGAACACCATGACTCAGGGCTGAGGTGCTCCATAAGGCTTCCCGAGAGTCATGACTTCAGGAGCCAGATCCATTCATAGAGAGAGCTGGAGACTTACATTTCTAAAGATTCTTTGTGTTAGTCTGGGTTGACTAGAGAAACAAATTCATAGACACTCATATGTGTATAAGAAAGAGCTTGTATATAATACAAGAGCAATATTGAGAAAACATCCCAGCCCAGTCTAGATCAAGTCTGTAAGTCCAAAATTAGCCCATATGTCCGATACCAATGTATACATTCCTCTTCGGACTCACAAAACACATGCATTAACGCCGAATGCAGGAAGATCACAGGCCAGTGGGTGGAAAGTCTTGTGGATCCAGTGGCAGTAGAGGCATCTCAGCACTGGCAGGGTTCTCCATGGGGCTCCTTCCGCTCCAGGGCTCTAGCGTAGCCCCATGTGTCTTGTCAGCAAGCATGTCTTGCAAGGAGTGAGCAAGTGGCCTGCCTCCAGTGAGCTATTTATCTCCTTCTGAGGCAACCAAGCTGCGACCTGATTGGCAGGCGAAACTCCACCTCTTCAGTCTTAAGTCTCAAATTGACAACAGATCATGTAATTACACACTCTTGTATACCACAAAAGTCACAATAAAGTCAGACAAGATTGAGGTAGTCAATCCTGAAATCAAGGAACTTTTGAGCGCTTTCTCCCTTGTCCCATAGACTTACATCTTAAAGATAAATACAATTAGAAATAGGCTCTATATTTAGTGAGTGGGCCAAAGTAGGAGAAGCCGTGAATAGGAATATGGCCTTGTGTTAAAGGAAAATGGCTTGAATTGACAGTTACTCACCTGTGTTCAGTGTGCCGCCTCATGTGGCGTGTTCTGTATCCTAGCAGGTGAGAATCATGTCCGTTACAAGCTTGCTAGCTATAGCTTTGGAGGCCTGACCCTCACTGTCTAGTTGTTTTTAGTGGTGTTTCAGACTTCACTGGGACATGTTTGCATGTCCTTCAAAAGATGAATTTGCCATTCATTTCTTTTTCATGCCTTATCTTTTATGGAAGCCATAAACATCTTTTGATTAACAGTACTTGAAAGGTTATAAAGCCCTTATGCACACTAAGATTAATTCATGATGAGAGCTGCAGCTTTTCAGAGTTTTCAATTTCAATTTTAATGAACTAGTTGATTGTTTCTTGGATGTAAAGATGAAATGTTTTATGTAGGTTAAGGTTATCCTGCCATTGAATCACCAGGAGTCCCTGGATAGTGTAGCTAGTGAAGCACTCGGCTAATTACGGAAAGGCTGCTCATTTGAACCCACCCAGAAATGCCTTGGAAGGTCTGGGGGCCCCTGAAAATGCTGGGCAACAGTTGGAATGATTCAACCACCACATAGGTCCATTTATCTGATTCTTTGTTTTATGACAACCATTTAATGATATTTTGGGTATGAATCACCCTTACTAAAATAAAATGTTAAGTGACTTGTTAGTTGTTGACTTAATTCCTGGTGACCTTACATGACCAAGTAGAGCCGTCCCCCAGGGCTTCCTACACTGGAACCGATCACCCACCTGGTCTTTTCTCCAGTGGAACAGGTGAGGGTTCAAACTACCAGCTTTCTAATGAGCAACTGAAAGCTTAAGCATTGAGCCACTAGGGCTTCTGACTTGTCAGTACAAGGTGGTGTAATAATTGCACTCCCTGGAGACAGGGATCATGTCATCTTTGTCAGGGTAAGTCCAGGCATATAGTATGGGCTCTGTAATTCTGAAAGACTGAGAGGACGGAGGCAGGTGTTTAGCTATTTATGTTATCACACAGCTTAATGTAATTAATTGTACTTTGACTATTATTACATATTTCTAGAGAAATACTGTATATTTCTAGCCTGTTTAGACTTTGTGAAAGACTGGCTTGTTTTAAATTTCAGCTGCTGCCTTTTTTATCACCTATGAAAATGTGAAATGGCTTCTGCACACTGACTCCTCCTCATATTTGAAGCCCATGAAGCATATGTTGGCTGCCTCTTCTGGAGAAGTGGTAGGTAACAGGTTTTGTATATAAAATACTTTGGAAATGCAAGTATTTGCATTATCTTTGGTGCAAAATATTTATTTTATGAACAGGAGTCATAAATCCCCATAAATGTAAATGGGTTAAACATGACATTTAAAAGATAGTCACATATATGGCGAAAGAAGAGGCCAACTGTGTGCTTTTTACAGAAGACAAACCTAGAATGATCGCGATAATACTTGGTCTTCTTGGAATGCCCTTGGAAAGCTTCTGCTCAGCTCTTCCGACTTCTTTATTTCTTCCGTTTGCCGTAGCTACGCCATGATCACGTTTTGGAGTCTCTTCTCACATTCACTCTGATCTTTTCTTTATTGCTTATCGTTTTAATGCCCTTTTGCTTTGCGATGCCCTCTCCCAGCACAGCAGGCCTTCTCTCGTTAGTGATGTGTGTCAGATCTGTGCTGAGATGGTCTGTACATCTGCCTCTCTGACATTTCCTGTCAAGGAATCATAATATGTGCTCGTTCCTGCGTGGCTTCTTGGACTCAGTATGTTGCTTTCAAGTTTCCCATGATTTAGCATGTACTACTGCTTCATTCTGTTTGGTTGCCAAAAAATACTCTATTGAATGCAGGCTGTTCCGAGTTATGAACAGGATCCATATCTGTCTTTATGGTGAATTTATAGGTGAGTTGAAACAGGTGCATATGGTTCTTATTTAGCCTTACTTAGTGCAGGGAGCATTGTTGCTGTCGGGCGGGATAAGCCTAGAATACTAACCCAAGGTCAACAGTTCAAACCTACCAGCTGCTCTTTTGGGGAAAGATGAAGCTGCTTCTGTAAAGATTTACAGCCTTGGAAACGCTATATGCGTCACTATGCGTTGAAATGAACGTGATCACGGCTGTGGGTTTGGTTAGTGCAAGAAAAATGCCTTGCAGCCTTTTTAACAATTTTAAAGCTGCACACACAGCAGGTGAAGGTGATTGTGATAAAGAGTTTGTTGGAAGAATTTGGTTCAGAATCTCTGTTTGAACATTAATTAGTGCAAGAAAAGTGAACCCTGTTTGTCCAGTGGATAAAATGGATAGCTGTTACCCTTTTCAAAAGGTCAGCAGTTCAAGTGGACCAGGCACTCTGTAGGAGGCAGATGTGGCAGTATGCTTCTGTAAAGACTGATGACCATGGAAACCCTATGAGCTGGGTCTGCTTTGTTCTATAGGTGCACTGTGAGTAGGAATCAATTCGACAACAGTGAGTTTAGTTTTAGTTTTTTAGTAAAAAGGCTCAGAGGCTTCTCTATGATTTAAAAACAGCAAGCGAAAGCAAATGTGATAAAGATTTGTTTTAAGTAGAGGTTAGTTCAGTGGTTTGAAAGTGAGGGCAAATTTATATAACATTAAAGGACAAGTATAAGTTGTACGTTGGTTAGACTTACTATTTATTTTCTGCAGAAGTATTTTCCCATCCTATGAGATCTTTTTACTTTCTTGATGGTGGCCTTTGAAACACAAATTTCACAAATTAATTTTAATGATGTACAGTTATAATTTTTATTTCTGTTGTTTGTTGTCATATATAAAAACTCTATGCTAAATTCAGGATTATGAAGGCCTTCCCCAGTGTTTTCTTCCAGGGCTTTATAACTTCAGCGCTTACATTTAGCTTGTTGATCCCTGTTTAGTTAATATTTGTATATGCCATGAGGTATTAGTCCAATTTTAATCTTTTATACATAACTACTTAATTTTCCAGCATCACTTGTTGGAGAGACTGTTTCTTTATTATTGAATGCACTTGACATCTTGTCAAGTAATAATTGACCATAATTGTGAGGGTGTAAATAGGAGTCTTTAATTCTATTTCATTGGCCTCTGCCGATCCTTAACTCAGTCTCTTAACTCTGTCTCATTACTGTAACAACTTTGTAGTAAGCTTTGAAATTGGGAAATGTGCATCCTCCAATTTTGTTCTTTGTGAAAATGGTTTTCACTATTAGTAACAGTTTGTCAGTTTTAGCAAAACTCATTTGGGATTCTGATAGGGATTGCATTGACTATAGAGATCAATTTGTATAGTGCTGCCATCTTAATATTTTAAGTCTCCTGTTCATGAGGATGGGATTTCTTTTCATCCATTTATGTCTTTCTTTCAACTATGTTTTGTAGTTTCTGGAATATAAACTTAACATTAAAAAAATCATTTTATTAGGGGCTCATACAACTCTTATCACAATGCATACACATACATTAATTGTGTAAAGCACATTTGCACATTTATTGCCCTCATCATTCTCAAAACGTTTGCTCTCCACTTAAGTCCCTTGCATCTGCTCCTGATTTTACCCCCTCTCTCACCACTATCCCCTCCCTCATGAACCCTTGATAATTTATAAATTATTATTTTGTCATATCTTACACTGTCTGACATCTCCCTTCACCCACTTTTCTCTTGTCCGTCCCCCAGGGAGGAGGTTATGTGTAGATCCTTGTAATCGGTTCCCCCTTTCCACTCCACCCTCCCTCCACCCTCAAGGTATCACCACTCTCCCCACTCGTCCTGAAGGGGTCATCTGTCCTGGATTCCCTGTGTTTGCAGTTCCTACCTGTGCCAGTGTATATCCCCTGATCTAGCCAAATTTGTAAGGTAGAATTGGGATGATAGTGGGTAGGGAGGAAGCATTTAGGAACTAGAGGGAAGTTGTATGTTTTTTTTAATCATTTTATTAGGGGCTGATACAACTCTTATCACAATCCATATATACATCAATTGCGTAAAGCACATTTGTACATTCATTGCCTTCATCATTCTCAAAATATTTGCTCTCCACTTAAGCCCCTGGCATCATCGCCTCAATCTTTCCTCCTCCCTCCCTGCTCACCCCTCTCTCATGAACCCTTGATAATTTATAAATTAATTTGAAGTTGGGGTCATGATAGTGGTGGGGGGGAGGAAGCATTTAGGAACTAGTGGAAAGTTGTATGTTTCATAGTTGCTACACGGCACCCTGACTGGCTCGTCTCCTCCCCGACCCTCCGGAAGAGGATGTCCAATTGCCACTCTGCACTCCCCCTCATTCACAATGATAGGATTTTTTGTTCTGATGATGCCTGATATCTGATCCCTTTGACACCTTGTGATCACACAGACTGGTGTGTTTCTTCCATGTGGGCTTTGTTGCTTCACTCCGCACTCCTCCTCATTCACAATGATACGATTTTTCTGTTCTTTGATGCCTGATAACTTATCCCTTTGGCACCTCATGAGCACACAGGCTGGTGTGCTTCTTCCATGTGGGCTTTGTTGCTTCTGAGCTAGATGGCCACTTGTTTACCTACAAGCCTTTAAGACCCCAGACGCTGTATCTTTTGATAACTGGGCACCATCAGCTTTCTTCATCACATTTGCGGATTCACCCGCTTTGTCTTCACCAAACTTGTTGGGAAGGTGAGCATCATGGAATGCCAGTTTAATAGAACAAAGTATTCTTGCATTGAGGTAGTACTTGAGTGGAGGCCCAATGTCCATCTGCTGCCTTAATACTAAACCTATACATGTATGCACATAGATCTATTTTTATATCCTCATATGCAAATATGTTTACCTATGTACATGCCTGTATTTTGACCTCTATAAATGCCCTTTTCCTCTTAGCTCTTTCCTCTATTTCCTTTTCCTTTACCCTTGTCCCACTATCATGTTCAGCCTTCATTTGGGTTTCAGTAATTCCTCTTGGTTACATTGCCCTTGGTCACGCCCTACCAAGCCTCTTACACCCTCCTCACCACCGATTTGGATCACTGTTGTTCCCTTGTCCCTGGGTTTGCTAACACCACTTCCTTTCCCCCCACCTTCCCCTCTCCCATATGCCCCCGGAACTGTCGGTCCCGTTGCTTTCTCCTCCAGATTGTTCAGCCTATTTTAGACAGACCTGCGGAGATAATAACATGAACAAAAGCAAACAACAAGAAGCCAATGAAAAAAAACAAAACAAAGCACAACAACAAAGAAAAACTTGTAGTTAGTTCAAGAACTGTTTGTTGGCCTTTAGGTGTGTTTTCCTGTCGAGTCTGATGGGGCACCAAGCCCTGGCCCCAAAGTCTATTTTTGGTATTCCCTGGGGACTTTGTTGCTCTGTTCCCCTTGCTCTTCTGTTCCTCGCCCTTAGTGTTTTGCCTCAGTGTGGTGGGATCAGATTGGACAGAATTCCCAGGATGTGCTGCACTCTCTCTTCCTCCCCCTTCTTTTGCTCCCATGTGCTCTGATCAGACATGTCCCTCTCCCGTAGCTGCAGATTCAGTGCTGTCGTATGCAATAAATTCTTCTGGGGGGGTCAGGTGTTCACATAGTTGGGATTGGGGTCGGCCCCTCAGACCTCTCCACTGGTTCCCTGCTCCATGCTGGCATGTTGCATTCACATCTTGGAGCACTGGGTTGAAGTCTGGTCCCTCTTTACTTGTGGAGATATAAATAATACCCTCCCCTTGGGTGGGTTAGTACCCTGTACCTCCGCTACCCATTTCTTTTTTATTTTTTTCCCTTTACCCCCCTCCTTTTTAGTTGTCTACCATATGTATCCCTGTATTTGGTCTGGCCCCTGTCATACTACCTGGTCCTCAACCCAGGAATGTTTGTATACAGTAGCTTTTTCCCTATGCCCCTTTTGCATTTTTTTTTAAAGCTTACCTCAGTGGACTCATGGTGTACTTGCCCTTTTTTGCTTGCCTTACTTCTCTTAGCATGATTTCCTCCAGTTTTTCCCATGCAGCTATGTGCTTCATACATTCACCACTGCTTTTTAGCCATGCGTAGTACTCCATTGTATGTATGTACCAGTTTTTAAAAAAAATAATTTAATTGGGGGCTCGTACAACACTTATCACAATCCATACATACATCCATGTGTCAAGCACATTTGCACATTTGTTGCCATCATCATTCTCAAAACATTTTTTTTCTACTTGATCCCTTGGTTGATCAGCTTCTCATTTTTCCCCCTCACTCCCTGTTCTTCCCTTCCTCAT